AAGGCAGCAAGGGAGAAACAGCTAGTAACATACAAGGGAGCTCCAATAAGGTTATTAACTGATAAACACTACAAGCTAGAAGGGATTGGCAAGAAATATTCCAAGTAGTAAAAAGCAAGGACCTGCAACCAAAACTACTCTATCCAGCAAGGCTCTCATTTAAAATGGAAGGTGAAATAAAGAGCTTTCCAGACAAAAGAGGGCTGAAAGAGTGCATCTCCACCAAGCCAGCACTGCAAGAGATGCTAAAGTGACTGCTTTAAGAAGAGGAAGAAATAAAAAGGGAGAGAGAGAGAGAGAGAAGGAGGACACAGGTACAAAGGGAAAAATAGCAATGAATAAGTACCTATCAATGATAACCTTAAATGTAAATGGATTAAATGTTCCAATCCACAGGCATAGGGTAGTAGAATGCTTAAGAAAACATGACCCACATACAAGTTGTCCACAAGAGATTCACCACAGAACAATAGATATTCACAGACGAAAAGTGAAAGGATAGAAAAAATATTCCACAGAAATTAACATGATAAAAAAGGCTGGAGTATACATACATCAGACAAAATAGACTTCAAAACAAAGGCAATAACAAGAAACAAAGAAGGTTGCTTCATAATATTTAAGGGAGTAGTCCAACAAGAAGATATAACTCTTATAAACATATGCTCCCAATATAAGTGCGCCTACATATATAAAGAAAACTTTGGAGGACTTTAAGAAAGAGATAGACAGCAACAGTCAATGTAGGGGATTTTAACACCCCACTGTCAACAATGGATAGATCTTCCAAACAAAAAGTCAACAAAAATACTGAACAACACTTTAGATCAAATGGACTTAATTGATATTTATAGAATATTTCACCCTAAAGAAGCAAAACACACATTCTTCTCAAATGTGCATAGATCATTCTCAAAGGCAGACTACACAAAACAAACCTTAACAAATTCAAGAAAACTGAAATCATACCAAGCACCTCCTTGGATCACAGTGACTTAAAACTAGAAACCAACCTAAAGAAAAAACAAACTCAGAAACATTCAAATACATGGAGGCTGAATAACAGATTATTAAATAATGAATTGGTTAACAATGAGATCAAGTAAGAAATCAAAAAGTACCTGGAAACAAATGAAAATGAACACACCACAATCCATAACCTATGGGACATGGCAAAGGCAGTCCTGAGAGGGAAGTTCATAGGAATATAGGCCCACCTGAAAAAGATAGAAATATTTCAAATAAACAGCCTAACCCTACATCTACAAGAACTGGAAGAAGCATAACAAACAGAGCCCAGAGCAAGTAGAAGGAAGGAAATAACCAGGATCAGAATAGAATTAAATGACACAGAAACTAAAACAACAATCCAAAGGATCAATAAATCCAGGAGCTGGTTCTTTGAAATGATAAACAAAATTGACAAACTTTTAACCAGATTCATCAAGAAAAAAAGAGAGAGGACCCAGATAAATAAAATCAGAAATGAAAGAGAAAAAGTAACAACCAATACCACAGAACTACAAAGGATTGTAAGAAATTACTATGAATAACTATATGCCAAGAAATTGGACAACCTCTGTGAAATGATAAATTTCTAGAAACATACTATCTCCCAAAACCAAATCAGGACGAAGCAGAAAGCCAGAACAGACCAATAACAACTAGCAAAATTGAAGCAGTGATCAAAACACTACTGACCTACAAAAACTCTGGACCAGACAGCTTCGTAGGTGAATTTCACCAAACATTCAAAGAAGAGCTAATACCAATCCTTCACAAACTATTCCCAAAAATTCAAAAACAGAGGAAACGGCACTGTTTCATAAGGCCAGTATTATCCTCATCCAAAAACCAGTAAAGACACAACAAAGAAAGAAAATTACAGGCCAATACTTCTGATGAACAAAGACATGAAAATCCTCAACAAAATACTAGCAAACCAGATCCCACAGTACGTTAAACAGATCATACACCATGATCAAGTGAGATTTATTGCAGGGATGCCAGGATAATACAATATTCACAAATCAATAAATATGATACATCACAGAAACAAAATGAAAGGCAAAAATCACATGATCATATCCATAAATGCGGAAGAAGCATTTGATAAAATCCAGCATCCATGTGTGATAAAAACATAAGATGTTAAGGTAAGAACATCTGGCAAACTTGTAGAGAATTTTTATAAAAATTTGAGCCAAATAGTGGATACACACAGAAGCAAGATTATAACAGACTGAGAAAATGCTTCTCAGAATGGAAGCTTGCAGCTGCTTTTACACATTTTTTCTTTTTTTGTTGTTCTTTCTTTCTTTTATGCATTTTGAACTAAAGAATATGAGCGAGGTGACATGAAGATGGGAGAAAGCAAGGTGGGGATTGAATTACAAGATAATAGATTATGTGTTCTCTTAAGGGTTGCTTCAATTATTTCAAAGGTATTAAACTAGCTGATTTTGCTTCTGAGAAACCTGGAAAAAGGCAAATTAAAAGGACTATTATCCTAGATGCACAGAAAAAAATAGACAGGGCTTGCTTAAAGTAAAGATAAACCTTTTACTCAAAAAATTATAAGCCTGAAGCATGACTACTCATATGACCTGTCCAGTTAGGAATTTATGATCAGATTACCCTGTGAGGCTGCTTTTTGTAGAACTGCTTTCCGTCCACACATACTTACAGGAAAGTATGCAATTCATAATTGTACAGCTTAAAGCTTTTTCATAAAGGGAACAAACACACACGACCAGTACCTATATATTAAGACACAGACTATTTCCAGAACCCTAGAAAAGCTTCTGGCTCTCTTCCTGTCTCTCCTCCCATACAAAGGGTAACCATGTTCTGACCTGTAGCAACATAAACTAGTGGTGACTAATTTATAGTTTTGACTTTGTGTACATGGAATCATACTAATATGTATAATTTTGAGTATGATTCTTTTACTTAACTTTATGTTTGAAAGGTTTGTTGATGTTGCTGAGTGTGGTTGCAGTTAGTTCATTTTTGTTGCTGTGCAGTAATTGTGACCCTGTAATCCACACCCTGACTTGTTTCCCCCTACCTCTACGTAATCTTCCCCCCTTAAATTCAAATGTGTAAACGAAACTGCAAAATTGTTATTCTCTGGAGCAGTTAAGATCTTTCTCTCTTGTGTATGTAGTAAGTTTGGCTCAAATAAACCCTTGTAAAAATTTCTCTACAGGTTTGGACATTCCTAGCATTGACATATTCCACTGTGTGAATATACCATATTTGTTTAACCTGTTTTACTGAATATATATACACAATGGACCTTTGAGTTGTTTGTGGTTTGGGGCTTGCATTCGTTTCCTAGAGCTGCTGTAACAAAGAATCACAAACTGAGTGGAATAAGCAACAGAAATTTGTTACCTCTCAGTTCTGGAGGCTCGAAGTCAGAGATCAAGTGTCAGCAGGGTTGGTTTGTTGGGAGGGTTGTGAGGAAGAATCTGTTCTATGCCTCCTCCCTGGCTTCTGGTGGTTTTCTGGCAATCTCTGGCATTTCCTGGTTTGCATAAGGATGACTTTGATCTCCACCCTCATCTTCACATGGCATTCCCCCTGTGTGCATGTCTCTTCCAAATTTCCTCTTTCTGAAAGGTCACTAGTCATATCAGAGTAGGGCCTCACCCTACTGCAGTTAACATTTGGGTTATTTCTACCTGAGTTGTCTTATTTGATCTTTACAATTATTACCCCAGTAGACTTGAATTTGAAGGCTGGCTCTGTAGCTCACCAAAGCTGGCCTAGTCAAATGTTTCTTAGCACATTAGTTTTTTCATTTGTAAAATAAAAATAAAATTACCCACTTTACTATACTGGAATGAGGATTTAATAAAATAACAAAATACCTAGTATAGTTCCTGTCATATGGTAGATACTTAATACATGGCAACTAGTAACATAATGACTCATGTTTATAGTAGACAATTCTAGAATCTGTTTCATGACTTTCAGGATAATCTAGACTAACATATGTAATGTATCTCCTGCTTCATGAAAAGTTGCCTTAGGTCATGTATACATGACATATCCTAAAGATAATTTTACCTTCTAAAGTACTGAAATCGTTGAAGGATGACAAGAAACATTTCTGAAATGTGTACTTTTATTCTACAAGCGATCTACTTGCCAACCTCAGAGAGGTTAAAATGTTAGTTCAGAGTTCAGTTTTATGGAGTACCCAATCACTTGTCTTTTCAAGGAAAATAAGTTTAATATTATTTATCTGGCAAATAAGGAAAATCATATCTCTAAGGAATATGGCCCTAATAACTTACTGGAAATAAAAACATCTTCAGACTTAACTGAGACCATCTAATTCTCAGAGGGAGCATCTGGGAAAATAAATGACCAAACTTTCCAGGAGAATTCTTAATGAACTTTTATAAAATCTAGATTTAGATTGCCTTTAATGTAAAATATTAATATAAACCATAAAGAACTTTTAAGTATGCCTTATAATTTTAATAGCTAAAGTTGTATAATAAATATTTTTCTGATTATAGAAGACTTGAAAACATACAAAAAGAACAAAAAGTTTATTTCCTGGTCTTTTTTCCTAAGCATAGTTCTTTTGGGGGGCCTGGAGGAGTAAATATGGTGAATGATTCTCTATATTTGATTTCATATCCTTTTTCCCTTCAATCTTATAATCTACTACCCTACATAGGATTTTTTCCAAAGTGATGAAAAATTTTTTATTAACACAGTTCAGGAGAGTGAAATAGCAAAGTAATTAAGAATGTAGACTTAAGCCAAATTTCTGGGTTCAAATCTTGGTCCCAGCAGTTGCCAGCATTAACCTGAGTAAGTTACTACTTCTCTGTGTCTTAGTTTCTTCATTGAAAAATGGAAATATTAACAGTATACATACCTGATAGAGGTGGTATAAGTATTAAATGTGTTAACTTTAACACATTAATTCATACATATTTATTGAATACATATCAATATTTTAATAGTGCATCACATGCTAAGCATTCTATAAATGTCTATTATTATTATTATTAGCAGCTATTAATATTCTTTAGTATGGTACTGTATTGAAATCTTAAAATAAGACACATAATAATTGACTAACTACACTTGAAACTTATAACATTATTTATGGACAAATTATTTATAATGCTTTCTCAGTTTAAATTTTAAAATCTATAAAGTATATCAAGTCAAGTAGTATGAATTCTAATCCCTAATTTTTTTAATTTATGGAATAATTTTGTGATTTTTGTTTAATTTTATTTTTTGTGTGGACATAAACTTTCAATTCATTTGGCTAAATACAAAGGAGCACAATTGCTGGATCACGTGGTAAGAGTATGTTTAGTTTTGTAAGAAACCACCAGACTGTCTTCCAAAGTGGCTGCACCATCTGCATCCCCAGCAGCAGTGAGTGAGAGTTCCTGCTGCTCCAAGTCCTCACTGTTGTGATGTTATTTTCCACGTGTTAAAGGCATATATATCTTCCCTGAAAAACATAATTTGTCAGATCTTCTAAAGAAAGTGCTTAAAAGTACAAGCAAAAATTAAACTTCCATTCCCCAGGCCCACTAACCACTTCCTCATATCAACCAGTTCAATAACTATATATGGCTAGTGGCTACCACATTGGACAGAGTAGACCCATGAGGTTCCATCACTACAGAAAGTTCTACTGCACAGGGCTCTATTTAGGTCTCTCGGCAGAAAGTGGAATGTTTAGATTATGTATCAATTAAAGAGTACAAGAGTAACATGCTTTTGATCCAATTGAATTCAACTATGCAATATTTAGTAATTAAAATTTTTCTATTATGATCCAAATTTATATCATGAAAACTAGATCAATCATCAATCATCTAAGGATCAAATGCAAAAAAACAATGTGTGAGCGTGATATACACATCTTATTTCACAGTTTTCTTTTCTGCAATAACCGAAAAGCTCCTCTCACCATGCTTAACAAATGTTATCTTTTAAAATACTTAATAATGTAACAGATTAAACACAGCTTTAAAAACTTTTTTACAATGAAAAATCACAATTTACTCAGAAGTAGAAAGACTAATATAATAAACTTCTTTGAATCCATCACCCAATTTCAACAATTATCAATTGATAACCAATCTTTTTCATCTATAGCCTACCTGCTCTCACCCCTTCTGCTCACTGAGTTCTTAATATTATCAAATATATAGTCATTAAACAAATAAAGGAAACCAGTTAGTATTTCTGACTTTTACATCAAATTTCAAAGTTGAAAGCGCATGCGATATTGTCATCTGTTCAAGGTCACTGATCATTTTGTGTCAGAAACACTACAGATCAATATTCAGGAAATGAGAGCAGTATGTTTTAATCTATTATTTGCTAAGAACAAAATGAAGCTTTAAAAATAGACTAAAAAATAATCAATAGGAACAGAGGTACTTAGGCTATCAAATTATTCAAAGTAGACCAAATAATCTTAATAATGTAAACAAGTTACTACCTCATACCCATTAGGGTAGCAACCATCAAAAAACAGAAATTAAGTGATGGCGAGGATGTAAAGAAATTGGAACCCTTCTGCACTTCTGGTGGGAATGTAAAATGGTACAGCCACTGTGGAAAGCAGTATGATGGTTCTTCAAAGAATTCAAAATAGAATTACCATGTGATTCAGCAACTCCACTTCTGGGTATATACTCAAAAGAATTGAAAGCAGGATCTTGAGGAGATATTTGTGCACCCATGTTCAGGCAGCATTATTCCAAATAGCTAAAACATGGAAGCACCCCAAGTGTCCATGGAAAGAGGAATAGATACACAAAATGTGGTATACAAATACAATGGAATATTACATGCCTTAAAAAGAAAGGAAATTCTGACATGTGCTGCAGCATGGATGAACACTTGAGGACATTGTGCTAAGTGAAATAAGCCAGCCAAGAAAACAGTAATACTGTATGATTCTACTTACATAAGATACTTAGAGTAGTCAACATTGTAGAGACAGAAAGTAGAGCGGTGGTTGTCAGGGACTAGGGGAAGGGTGAAAAAAGCGGGGATGTTACTGTTGAATGGTATAGAGTTCCAGTTTGCAAGATAAAAAGAGTTCTGGAGATGGTTGGTTGTGATGATCATGCAACAACATGAGTGGATTTGCTTAATACCACTGAACTGTATACTTTAAAATGGCTATGATGGTAAATTTTGTTATGTGTATTTTATCAGATTTTTAAAAGTTGGGGGGCAAGAACACACCACACTGCTATTCGCAACAGAAGGCAAACTATATAAAGCGTGAGACAAGATGGATTATGTGTTTTGCACATGTGTTTGCAAATCTAGCATACACAAATAGGTAAGCAATCCCTGTATATCTTGAAAGAAAAATATTATTCATATAGGAACTTAGTTTAGGCTTGGAGATTTTGTAATTTCTATTTAAGGTGGAAAAAATAATTAATAGTATAAATATGAAGAAAACATAAATAGCTGATGACAAATGTCTGCACTGATGGGCAAAAATAAGTTGATCTGCTCAGATAAAAGATTCTACTCACAGGCCAGCAGAGATGGAGAATGGATTCTGAAACATTCAACCAACTTAGCATAGAAATTCAGACATAGGGGTGAATAGACGAGACATACTGTCATTTGCATGGAGGTTACTAGTTGGATTTACTGGTGCATTGGGAGATTTGGTAACCATTGTAGAAGCTGTATGGTAAAGAGAAAGGTAAACAAAGAATCAACAGTACAGATGAAAAAAACAAAAACAGGAAACATAGCTGAATACAGACCCAGTTGTTTCAGATGAGGTGTATGTATGAATTTGAGTTACAATTTATTTTTCATTTTTTAAAAATCTGTAGACATTTATAAAATAGACTACATGAACTCTGAGATCCTGTCCACTCTAAGTTTAATAAGTTTTGATAAGTTTTCTAAATTTCAGTTGCCTTTTGAAATTTTAATTTGCATTCTAGCTCTTCTCTGGTCAATAACTTGTTGGCTTTTTAAAATTTTAAATTCAATCATTCAGTCGTTCACCCAGTCATTCTTTGCTTTACAAAGTACCTACAACAATATTTTATGGCATTGTGGTATATAGTGAGGTCACAAAAATAAATCAGGTGTCTTTCCTGCTCTCAAGGAGCTTGGTATCCATAGCAAGGCAAACAGGTATACAGGTAATTTCATTATTTAAAAGGATAAGGATGACTGGGGTGAAGAAGTGGGCTAAATGAATTTCTGGCAGGGACTTTTAAAGGTAAAACCTGGGGGAAAGACACACAGTGCCTGGAAAAACTGCAGGTAGTTAAGCATTCTTGGGGAAAAGGGTGATGAGCAATTGGGCTGTACGGTTAGGAGTGGCTTTGTAATTAACATCTCCGTTTGGCATGCTAAGGACTTGGACTTTATCCTAAAGGCAAAGGGAAGTCAGTTAAGAACTCAAACTAGAAATATGAAAACACAAATCTAAATAAACTAATCTGAAGATTATGTGGAAGTGTATTCAGAAGACTAGAGGCACGTAGGGAAACTGAAAGAGAAAGGTAGTAATCTTTATCCTTACCTAGACCCAAAAAATGACAGTGGACACTCAGAGGCAGGAATAGCGTCCAGAGATCATTGAGGAGGTAGAAATGGCTTGATGTGTTAAAGGTCCCACCCTGGTTTTTAAAAGGTCTAGGGGCGGGATCTTGGAACCAACAGTTCAATAACATTTCCCAGGTAAGGCTGTTGATTAGTCAGGTATGGGACCCACCCGTGCAAACTGCGTCTCAATGAGCTTGAGCATGAAAAGAAAAGGGGGGGGGGATGGCAATGAAAGGGCCAAGGGGAGCCTTTTTATACAGGTCAAAGAGACTCTGCTGTTCCCTTGCTAAAGGAAGCAAACCAGCAGCAGGGGAGGAGCTGGAGGAGCTGAGATCGTGGAATGTTGCAAGGGAAAGATTTCAGGAGAAGGAAGATCTCGGTTCTGAGAGAGGAACGAAAGAAGAAAGGATAGGAACATACACCCAGACAGCTGGGGAGAGAGTGATAGGAATAGGGTTGAAGGAATTCTACCTTGAACTCCCTCCTTTTCACTCAGTGGAGCAGGTAGTGGGCACCCAGGACCTTTTCTGAAAGGGCCAAGGTACATAAGAGGGGGCTCACAAAAGAAAGATAAGCAATGGATAAGTTTTTAGTATAATTATGTCTTATGTAATATTTGGAACACACCTAAACTAAAAAGTAATTTGAAATTCAAATTTAACTGTGCATCCTATATATTATCTGGCAACCCTGTATGAACACTTGAAAAACCAGACGTGTGGATTATGACCTAGTACCTAAAGTTAAGGTTGAAGTTTACTATGAAAATCCCCTGCATTTATTAATACTTATTGGCAAGCAAGACTCACTGTCAGCAGCAGACAGGGTCATGGACACATGCCCATAGTATGGCACAAACCACAAGCAACGTTGACCGATTAGCTGGTCCCTGCCAACCTGCTTCTTTCCTGTGTCTGCTTCTGCCCCGTTTCCCGGAAACATCCCCTTTCACTCTGACCCAGCATCCGTGTTTCCGAACAGTGGATCGTATGTTAGGATTTTGTTATCCAGATTTGAAAAATCCTGGTTGTTTCTCTTGCACTACACTAAGCCAGCTACCCTGATAGGGTAACCAACTGTCCCAGTTTGCCCAGAACTGAAGATTTCCCAGGACGTGGGATTTTCAGAGCTAACACTGGGAATGTCCCACACAAATCAGGATGGCTCATCATCTGCCTTGACCATAGTAGATGCTTTTAAGCCAGTGATGTCTCTATGTTGAGTATTAAGCTTTAATTCTCCGGGGAGAGTTATAATTTTTCTCCTCAAAAACCCTGGTTTTCATTGCTTAAATTCTCCCTTATATGAAAGGTAATACTTTACAAAGAAAGAGGTACATTTTTTCATGTTTTATGCCATATCACACTTTAGTTCTTAGAACATTCTCACTGGAAAAGTATGTCAATTACAAGATAATATTTTTTCTAAGCTTATTATTAGAGATGCTATTTTTAAATGAGTGGGTCAAGAGAAGAGCTGATCCTTACATGTAGGCTGACTTTACCACTTATATGCCAATGTAGAGATATCCCATGCTCCGTGAATAATACAGAATGACACAGTATATGTATGTATCTGTATAAGTATTTCCTGAAGGCAAAAGGAAATGCAAAATATGAATGACTGGCACCCTGTCTTACTTTCAGAAATCAAAAATTTTGTTTTTGTTTCTTGAAGCAAATTATCTTCATGCAGACTTCAAGGAGCCTTGCATCCCACTGGCCAAGCAGATCTTTACCATGGGGCATGAACAAAGGCAACATCATTTTGGAGGAGTGCTTAGATCAGTTAAAACCTTAATTATGCTGGCAATGTTAGCTAGGGTCCTAATTTATAGTTATAAGAAAGGCTAGGTGCCAGAGCAATACTGATTTTCTTCTTATTTAATAACTAAACTTTGATATTAGTTCAGGATAGCAATATGACCAGTTAAAAGACTCCTTTTGACATCCTCCATTGCAACTAGATGTAGAATTTAGAAAGGCTCCTTAAGAAAGAAAGGGACAGCCCACTTGCATGAGCTCTTTTCACTTTCTTTCCTTTCTTTTACTTCTTGCCTGAAACTCAGACATGGTGGCTGGAGCTTCAGCAGCCATCATGGGCTATGAGAAAACCTTGAAGATAGAAGCCATGGATGGATGGGAAAGACACAGTAGGAATATTGAAACAGGCTTGTTCTCTGGTGACCCCGGCACCATCCTATGAGCTCTAGACCACCCACCCTCAAACTCGTTTTACTTCAGCAGAAAAACACTTAAAGATCCTGTTATTTTTCTTCTTTGTGACTAGCTGCCAAATGTAAAGCCCAACTGATAGAATTGTTCATTGTCGTGACTACACGTATGTATACATAAAGGTGAGGTAGTATTGGTTGGATTAGTAGTAACGGTAAAGCTTATTGAGTGTTTCCTATGTACCAACTTCTGAAATACTTTCTAAATAGTATGTTATTCAATTCTCAAAATACTTTATGAAGTAGGTATGTATATACTTCATTTTTCATATAAAGAAATTGATCTCAGGGATGTCAAATTCAAAGGCACAAAGAGAAAGTGGTTATATTGGGACTCAAAATTAAACTTTGGATGGTGAGCATACAGTAGAGTACACAGATGTTCAATTATAATATTGTACACCTAAAATTTATATAATATTATTAACCAATGCTTCAATAAATTTAATTTAAAAACAACAGACAAATTGTCATGAAAGCCGTGGTTCTATACTTCTCAAAGGTGAAGGTAATACAATCCTAGTAACAGAATGTGAAGATTTTATAATTTTTAACACATCAGTCATTCATTTGTGGAATTATCTATGTCTCTTATAAGCATAAGACATATATCCCATTTTTTATAGCTACTAGTTTCGGGGAGGGGAACCTTGTAAATCTCTCCAGGAATATTAATAATCCCGAGGAGATTATGAAATAGGAGAGGCGCTTCTTCAGAGCCCTCAGGCCCGCATCAGCCCTTTTCCCACCGCTGGTCGCAGGGAGAGCGGAGGCAGGATTCTGCTGGGCTCTGTGCACAGCCATAGTCATTACTGCTTTCTTGAATTTATTTCCACAATTTTCTGGCAGATAGCAGTAAAATCATTTTTTCTGACTTGCACACTTATTTGGGCTAGTGGCAAGGCTGGTTATGTGCTCTGCTCCTCTACTCTGGGCACCCTAATTTGTAATCTCCTACTCAAAACACCCCCAAAGTCTGAATTCATAGAAGTGAGTGTATGAGCATGTGTGCATGTGTGTACATGTAAGAGAAAGGGAGGGGGAGAAAGAAATGAAGTGAAGTGATAGCCATTTAAAAATACTGTAGTCCTGGCCGGGTGGTGTAGTTGGTTGGAATGTCATCCCATACACCAAAAGATTGTGGATTTGATTCCCTCTCAGGGCATACACCTGAGTTTTGAGTTCGATCCCTGGTTGGGCACGTAGGGGAGGCAACTCATTGATGTTTCTTTCTCACATGGATGTTTTTCCCTCTCTCTCTCTCTCTTTCTCTCCCCCTTAAACTCTCTAAAATCAACAAACACCCTTGAGTGAGGACTAAAAGTTAATGATAAAATAAAATTACAGTATCCTTACTCTGATTACTATAATCCCTCGATCATCTCTATCTCATTTCCCAGATGAAACTCTTTTTAATGCTCACACTTTTTTCCTGGTATTTACTTTCACATTTCTAAGTAATCTGTTTATCCTGGTATACTTATTTATCCATTTCAAATTTATTTATTACTATCCTGTAATAGTAAATGAAGATTTACCTCTCTTCTACCACCAGCCCTACTTTCCTTACATCTGCCAATTTCCCAAGATAGTTATAATGCAATTTTTTTAAGTGGGTTTTCAGTATTACATTTGCATGCCTGTGTAAATGCTGACACTTCAGAGTCGTGTTTTTTCCTGTAAAACACGATTTTTCCTAGCATTAATAATGGCCCTATTTTGTCATTTCTGAACATTAGTAACAGGCACATCTTTCAATGTCTCATGAAAAAAATTATGTACATGCTCCATCCTATCCCTCTAAAATTAATATTTTTCAAGTGCTCAAACATATCAGATAATCTATCAATTTTTTCTCAGAGGCCCTAGCCATCCTTCTGCTCAAATCTTGATTGATTTACTCTTGGGTTTGTTGCTCAGCTCTCATTTAGGGTGCCCTTTCACTATTACCCTGGGACTTTCCTTTGCCTCCTACCTGTGCTGAATCGCTTCCTTTCTGCGGTCCCAGAAGTTTGCCACCACAGGTTCATTCTCATCTGTTGCAGTGTAATCTTCAGTAGTCTCCTACAAAAGTTCTAAACTGAGTTCTCATGTGTCTTCAAGTGCTTTTATTTACCCTCATACTTAACTATGAATTTGTCTAGGAGAAAAACCGTTGTTTCAGAAACATTTGGAGAATTGTTTCTCTGTTTTCCCAGATGCTAAATTTCTGCTAGCCAGTTTGATGCCACTCCTATTCCCTTACATGTGAACTGATTTAAAAGACATTTTCAAGATTCTTTTAGCCCTCGTGTTCTGTAATTTCATGACTATATGTCTTGGTGGGAATCTCTTTTCATTTAAAGAGTCGTTTCAATCTAAAGACTCATGGCCTCGGTTCCAGGAATTTTTTTTGTTCTCTTTCTTTGGAACTCCTCTTTTCTCAGATGTTCTCCTACATTAATCCCTAGAATCTATATTACACTTTCTTTACTTGTCTTTGTCTTTTTGTCTTATTTTCTGGGAATTTTTCATCTCTTCATCATTCATATTATTAATTTCTAAGAGCCCTTTGTCATTTTTTTTCATTTTATTCTGTTTCTGTTTTTACTTTTTAGGTGAGAAAACATAAAATGGAGTAATTTTAAGTGAGCTGCTAAAATAATTAACAATGTGAAGTTTGAGGCATGTGGGAAAACATCATTCTTGTTTAACTAGCTGGAAAATGTAAACATTTTTTAACTTTCCAGTCTGTGTCAGTGCCTGGTTATACATCTGGACCTCCAGGTAACCTTCTGATTATTCCCCAAGGACCCATGTATCTA